TAATAGATTATCTTCTTGTTGTTGGTACCACTTGGTTGGTAATTTTCTGTTCTGTTTACACTATAACATACTGTATATGATGCATTTTACTGCTGCTTTTGCACTGCTGATTAGATACCAAACTGCATTTTGTTGTCTTAGTACTCTGTGCAAAGGCAATAAAGTTGCAGCTATACTTCAAATAATAATAATAATAATACTCATCATCATCATCATCATTTTTTTCTTGAAGTCAAATTGAAACATTGTTAGATTTTAAGAGATATACAAACACAACATGGTGTATAAGAAGCGGAAAACAATCCTCTCATAAAAATACAGTACTTTCCCATAATTAAAATGCATTTTCTAACCTTTATCCTACTGATTGCCTGATTACCAGTGCTTATAGATATCATAATGCTTCAGTAATAACACAAGATAGCTCCCATTCAACACACAAACCCATGAAAAATTACAGAAGCAATACTCTTTTCATGAACTGTCACTGATTACATCTGATTTTAGAAACATATATTGGACTTGAATTTTTGATGCAATTATTGATATTTTTGTGTATTTCAAGAACTAGAGCAAAAATTAAAATGCAATAAAATCAGGAAAGGAATTGATGAGTCTAAATGTGTCTGTAGGTGTGAATGTGAGTGTGCTTGTTTGTTTGTCTCTCTTTGTGGTAGAGAATGATGGACTGGCCATCTGTTGGCTGGGATAGGCTCCTCTATCAGGATAAGGTGGTGTATAGATGATGGATGGATGGATCAAATCAGGAAAGGAGTATTTTTTAAGAAGAGACTTCAAAGAGAACACCCACTCTGCCCACCTGATTTCCTCGGGCAGATTGTTCCAGAGCCTCGGGTCCCTGAATTCAAACACTCTGTCCCCTTTAGCTTTCAGCTGAGCCCCTCGAACAGACAAATCACCTACATTAGTGAGTTCTTCCACCTCCCTTGACCCCGAGTTAAAATAATTAATTCATTTTAAAGGGATCATAAAGCTGAGATATGCTTAGAAATCTATAAGCTTTGATGAAGAAGCACCTGGTTGCTGATCCGGATGTTCAGATTTCAGATTATTTAGATTCATCTTTAAAAATCTGCCCTAAATATGTTTATTTTTTTAGATTTTGTCAAACTAATTCTGTTAAAAGCAACAGACAGGGTGAAGACACTCCATCTGTTTTTAATCCATTTATTGTACAAATAGAACCAGAGAGGAACGTTTTGTTTATATGATGGTGCTGAAGAGCAGCTGGTTTTTCACTTTTTCATTTGGCTTATTAGAGAAGTGTAGCATCTCCACCCCATTCGCTTTCATTGTGTGCATTTCTACCATTAAAACGCTGGCACAAATGTTTCCTATCACAATGTTCATCATAGTCAGCTCTTAATCTTGGAGTATTTTCAAAATCTTGCCATTAGGAGTTTTCTTTGTATTCGCTGAACCAAATGTAAGTGTGGAAAACAAGAATACATCAAATCATCAGGAAGCCCATACCACAGACAATGAATATTAATTTCAGTGAATTAGCATATTGTCTTTATCAATACCTTCACCTAGATTCATTTTCAATACAAAATCAAAGTACACCATTTCCTTGTCTGTGGTGCACAATGTGACAGGAAGTTTTCTTTTATAACTGCAGCTGATGGCTTCTGTCTCTTGCAACTCTAGTTTACCTCCATCCTGAAAACTCGTATTAAGATCAGTAGGTTACATCCATCCATCATCTATACACCGCTTAATCCTCACTAGGGTTGTGGGGGCTGGAGCCTATCCCAGTCTATCACAGGGCTACACTTAGAGACAGACAACCAAGCACACTCACATTCACACCTACGCACAATTTAGAATCACCAATTAACCTCAACATGTTTTTGAACTGTGTGGGAGGAAGCTGGAGAACCCAGAGAGAACCCACACTGCACGGAGAGAACATGCAAACTCCACGCANGCTGTCAGAATCCGCCTCCGGCTCTCTGCTGGCGGTGTGTCTCTTCTTCTTCGTCAGTTTCTTCTTCCTCTGGGCCATCCTGCCTCCTCAAAGCCTCTTCAACCCGCCGCTGGCAACTTTAGAACACGAAATACGAAATAAAACGACCGTTAAACTAGTTTTTAAAGCAGCTCGTGTCTTCTCAGCACACAACAACACGGCGGGCAGACATGTTGGAAACACGTGTGGACGTTTTTTTCTTCTTCGTCTTCTTCCTCCGTGTTGCTGTCTGACCGGCTGGCAGCTCAACTCTGCCCCCCGCTGCTGCGGAGCCTCAATCACTGTGTTTACAAGTACAGTCGTCTTCAAATGTATTCCTACCCTCCCATTAAAGAAGAAAAAACAGCTGGCACTGAAATAAGTTGAAATTAGCAAAAGTAATAATAAATAAAAACATTGCTTTTGAATTGTGGTTAAACAGAAATATAAAAAACAAACAAACAAACAAACAAGCAAACAAGCATGATGTGACGCCTAAATTAATATTTTGTTGAACAACCCTTTGAGCCAATTACTGCAATCAAGTGTTTTCTGTAACTCTCAATCAGACTTCTGCACCTGTTGACAGCTATTTTAATTTTGGCCACTACTCATTAGCAAAGTGTTCTAATTTGTCCAGGACAGTTTTTTTTTGTTATTTTTTTATTTATTTTTTTTTTTTAATTATTCTTTTTAAACACAATTCAAAAGCAATGTCTTATTTCACGAAATTATAATTTAGCAAATTTTTATTTATTATTACTTTTTTCAGTTTCAAGTTATTTGAGTGACTGTTGTGAATTTTGCCTTTTCTTTAAGGTATGAATATATTTGAGGACAGCTGTTCTCAACTTTCTCTTGGGCTATTAGATTGCAGATTTTTGTCATTTTATATTATTTTGTATGTTGTGTTCTATTATGATCTTTAATTGCTCACAACCTTGTTTCTAAAATAATGATAATATAGTAGAACATATCACAATACAGTAGAATATATCACAACATGTCAAAAGACACGCTCCTCCTATCTGTTGGAGAAAGTGTGGACACCAGCGTGCAAACCACCTTCATATCCCGTAGGACCGCCCACTTATTAGACAATATCGGAAAGATGTTCATGGAGCACTGGCAAGACATTTTTGTAAGAACTGTTTATTTTGGATGTTTACCACAGGAATTGAGAAAAAGGGATCTTTCCATCTATAACTAAGAAATGGTTATTACATGATATTCCCACCATGTCAGCATGGAAGAGATGACAGCATTTATAAATAAATAAATTTTAAAAATTGGGTTTGTAGCATGTTGGGGAAAATGGGTTGAGTACATAAAAA